TAATCATAAATGCTTCCGCCTCAATCTCAAATCGACGACAAGGAATTGGTTCACGAATGCTTTTTCGAGGTTAAGATTGCCCATAATCTTGTTCCATAAGAGTAGGAATAGATAAAATATCACTCTCACTATTTTTAGGAGGATTAAAAGTTTCATCTAAGTCCTCTACTGAATTGCTTGTTGCGTTATAATCTAGATTTTTTATTTTATATAATTAAAAATCTTTTTCAACCTCACATGTCGTTGGAAAAACCTTTTCTAAGAATACAACATCACGCGATTCAATCTCCGTCACTTTTCCATCAGCTTTTTCACCAATAAATACAAATCCTTTGGAATATTCAGAATATCGTATAAAGATACACTGCTTCCCCCTAGGACTAAGTTTCCCATATTTATGAGAAGTATTGTGAATATATGCTGCACACCCTCATTGATGGAAATAACCTAGATTAGTTTTGACACCATTTCATAGTTCATATGAGATGGATGAGACAGATTTAGAGGACACATGATTAAGTATATAAGCAGCAGTTAACAATGCATCTCCCCAAAAGGAAATTGGTAAGTTAGCTTGCACCATCATCGACCTAACCATATCAAATAGGGTTCTATTCCTTTTTTCTGCTATACTATTTTGTTATGGAGTATAAGGAATAGTTAGATGTCTATCTATACCCTTTTCATCACAAAAGTTTTTAAATTGTTCAAACAGATATTCACATCCTTGATCAGTTCTTAAAGCTTTGATCTTGACACTTAGTCTATTCTCTACCAAATTAGTGTATCGAATGAAGCAATCCAATTCTTCAGATTTATGTGAGATCGAATAAACATGACCAATCCATGTGAAATCATCTATGAATGTGATGAAATAATTTCCTTCATGTCTTACTCTCATATTCATTGGACCACAAATGTCTAAATGAATAAGCTATAATAGACTACTAGCTCTTTTAGCTTTGCTAAATGGTAATCTAGTTGCTTTTCCAGCAAGGCAATGCTCACAAATGGGTAATTTCTCTTTGGTAAGTGTTCCTAAAAGACCAGCTCTTGCTAATTTATGTAATCGATCTTGCCCAATGTGTTCTAATCTAGCATGCCAAGTTATGATATTACTATCATTAATAGTGCTGGAATTTTGAACAATAGAAATTGAAGAATTATAATTAATAGATACATTAACGGTATCTAACACCATAAAACCATTTAATACAAAACCAGAATTATAAAAAATATTATCCAAATGTATTTTTACACAACAACCAACAAATGCAATTTTAAAACCCAATTGGAGTAAAGCAAGAACAGACACAAGATTTCCTTGAACTTCTAGAGCGTAAAGCACATCATGAAGATAAAGTGTGCGACCACCCCGCAAATCCAATTTGCAAGTACCGATCCCAAGCACAGTAGTGGAAGCACTATTCCCCATATATATGTATCTACTTTCCTTTGGAATTCGATGGAATTCCACAAAGGTTGTTCGATCCCTTGTTATGTGGTCAGTTGCTCCTGAGTCTATAGTCCAAAAAGGAAAATATTCAACAAGCATTAAACAATTGCTAACGTATAAGTTAGAGGGATGATTGTGGTTAAACATTAACTTTGGCTCAGTGCAATTACGAGTAAAGTGACTAGGTTTACCACAATTGAAACAATTTATATTCTTGTTTTTTTTACCGCCGCGTTTCCCACGCTTGCGCTTATGTCCACTACTACTTGCTTCTATTCCTCTCTTGTCATATTTAGGACCTTTAGCCTTACCCTTTTTATATTTAGAGCCATATGCTTCATACATCTTTGTCTCAAATATAAAAGCCTTGTTTATAGGCTTTTTAGCGTGAAATCAACCTTCTTCAAGCTCGACATGACGAGCAACATTGTCAAATATCTTGATGTTGTCATTGTTGGTACGGTTAACATGCATGTGTTCCCAATTACTTGGCAAATAGCGGATAACTACTTGGACTTGTTGTTCATCAGTCATCTCATGCCCAGCACCCCTCAATTAACTAATCATATTAGACATGACTATAAGATGCTACCTCATTGTATGATTTTGGCGCTTCTTATAATCATCGAATTTGAGGGTTAACTAACGAAGTCTAGTAGTGAAGGTTCCTCTATACTGAATTTTTACTGCATCCCAAACAGATTGAGTTGAACGATGGCTTTCAAAACGCAGCATTATATCATTTCTCATGCTGCTCAACATCAAAATGTGAACTACATGATCCTTGCATTTATAGGTTTGATATGCTTCCATATCAAGCCTGTGCTGAGCAATGTTTCCTTGCTTAGGTTCAGCCATCAATTGTGTGATTGTTTCCAGCAGTTCTTGCTCTTCTAGGAGATACTCAATTTTACGATGCCAAACATCATAATTGTTTTCACTTAGTTTGTCTCCATGGTTCAAATCAACAATAATACTCTTAGATGCAGCCATATTAAGCTTTATTGACAGGAATTATAAATATTAGTATTTAGTACAATTTAATTGATATATTTTGCCACTGCATTCCAAATTAAACAAATAATAATCTAACATATACAATTGAAATGAAAAGAATATTAAACACTTAATCAATTTCTATTTGTATGGTCTAATTATTATTGAAAATAAATGAGTATAAAATTATAGTTATTAGTTTCAACTAACAATTCCCCCTAATCAGGTTGCAGATATTATCATATATATGCATATAATGTAATTAAACTTAAATTACATAAATATTCAATTCATAATTAAAAAACCAATTATCTTTTAAAAAATATAATATTAAGAATAATAAATTTCAGAATTATTTTATATTTTGGGCACATAAATAGGGTCTCCAATTACGTCATCTACTTTATCAAAGTTATCTCCTCCAAATTCATTTTACTCAAACCATGGAATGAATTTAGCACTAGCATCTAAATGACCTGCGCTTCTTCTAGTGCATCGTATACCCTTTTTGGCATACTCATGTTCCCTCTCAAGCAGCATTTCATCTGCGAGATTGTTGAAATTGAAAGATTCTAGCCTATATTCCAATGATAGTCGCATCGGCATCCATTCCTCAGGCAGAAAATTGAGAATGATTAACATTTGATGTTCTATGTAGAATTCATAAACACCACTTATAGTCGGTCTAATCATCCAATGATACATGTAATCAATGTGCTCTCGAATTTTTTTCAAAGAGGTGTGACAAATTAATATACATTAGTAATTATTAATATATATTATATTAACTGTCATTCGGCAGTTAATACACACACACATCTTTCAAAAGATGTGTTCATTCGGTTTTTTTTAATAACAATTAATTGATTATTGCAATTGCAGTTAAAGAAAAATGAAAATGACAGTTTTAAATCTCCATTTTCATTATTAATTCACACATGAATTGATAATAAAATTATATAACTACCATGCAGGAAGTCTTTTCTAATTAATTATAGAAAAAATAAATTCATAACTAAATTATTTCATAAAATTTTGTAAATTAAAAATTCTCAATGGAAATAATTTTTTTAACACAAAATTTACATATATCTTTTATATAATAATAGATATAGTGTATAAAAGCAATATTAAAAAACATGGCTCTGATACCAATGTAGATTGGAAAGGAAAACTTCGTTGTGAGAATTTGCTTTCTTATTTTTGGATCAATTACTTTAGTGCCACTTCAATTACTAAAACCAAAATGATGTTCCACAGTACGAATGCCTTTGTAAATCTTATCAAATGAATGCAAAGAATCAAGATAGGAGAAGAGAAAAAGAGAACTATGTTCTTTCAATAATGAAAATTTATGTGAGAGAACTATGTTCTTTTAATAATGAAAATTTATGTACTTTCATATGGGTTATGTCCCTTTATATATGATTAGAGGAGGTGGTCACTTTCTTTAGTAACTCCTCTAATAACTTAGACTAGGCCTATCCATCATGGGTGGACCAGGCAAACCCCAATAACCAATAAGAAAAAATCTTTTTTATTTTTTTTTAAATATTTTGAACCCCTCCTTTTATTTTGAAATGTTTAATTATTATTAAAAAAGCTATATAAATATATAGGAAATTGAAATTATTTTTGTTATAGATAAACAATATTAAATTTAATAATGAATTTTGATCAATTTTAATTTTATTTTATTTAAAATTTTTTATCACCTTCTTAGACATCACAAAATTATAGAAATCATGTCTAAAAACTTAAAGATATGACAAAAACCCTCATAATGCTTAAAAAATATTTCGAAACCCCTTCCTTTTTGCTCTAAATGTCCTTAGTTATTATTAAAAAGATTAGATAATATTAGAGAAAGATATAAGAAAATGGGCATGGTTTTTTAATTGATGAAAAATATTTAATTTTATCTAATATTTTTCTTTCTAATTTATCAATAATTTAATTTAACTATACTTATACTAGTAATTAATAACATATTGGATACAAAATAAGTAAAAGTAACCCTCCTTTGCATCATTTATAGGGTGCATTACCACTCTCCAGTCTCCTCTTACTTTTTTAAAACATTTTTTTAACATTTTCTTAATAGATAAATAAATAAATAAAATAATTTTTTTTATAAAATAAAAGTTTATAGATTTTTGTAACATTTTCTTAATAGATTGTTTAGATCTTGTTATATAATATAAGTTTAAACTTCACCATTCATGGACTACTTTAAAGGTTTTTCATGTGTTGGTCAACATATTATTAGTGTACTAAGTATTTTTAAACATGAAGCTCTAATAAGATGTTAAAATAAATATATAATTCCTCATCTAAAATTTTATTTAATAACACATAAAAGAAATAGAACTTGTTTACCGGACAAAAAAAACCAAAATAGAAATTTATTTTTTCGAAATTGAGGAATTTTCTCAAAAACCTAGATTCTGCCATGTCCAGGAAGTCTAAACTGGACTTGTTCTTGGGCCCATAATAATACGGTCTTCTCCACAACATAAATATGGGCCTTAACGTTGAGATGGCAACTAAAAAATGAAAAAAACACACAGATTATAAATCCTCCTTCCTCCCGTACAAGATCAACGAAACTTAAAACAAACAAAACTCCTCTAGGGTTTCACAGTAAAAATTGTCAGGTTATCAAACCATGCACCGCTCTGCAATTTCACGCCTTAGAGCTCTCAAGGTCAGTTTTTTGAAACCCAATGCAACCTACTTGCGTTTTTGTTCTTGAGAAAATTCTTCAAGATTGAATATCTCTCGTCCCCTCTCTGTGTTTTTTTTTTAAGACGAAAATGACGCTAAAGTGAATGCTTGACTTGATTAATTACATCGATTAACAGTTGAAGTGGAAACTCGCGCCTAAAATTCTTTGCTAAACAAACCGAACCCATAATGTTTTTTAATTTAGATTACTGTTTTGTGTAGTTTAGCCTAATTAGACTCCTTTTTTTTATTTTTTCCTTGAATGTGGAAAAAGTCGATTATAGGATAGAGCTTTTATGATAATGTGACAGGGAGCTCGGATGATATTTTTGTAGTTTTCTCGAGTAGATTAACTTTGCATCCTGCAAATACAATTGGGAGTTTGTGGCTTAATTAGTGGGCTATTGGTATTTTTGTTTTCTTTCTTTTCCTTACCTAATGCAGTTGATATGGTTGAATTGACTAAAACGTGACACTGTCTTCCTTTTTAATGGTATTTGCATGAATAGGGTTGTGCAGGCAATTTGGGAACCACCCGGTATGCTACTTCAACTGCTGTAGCTTCTAGACCATCCTCACCAGGCTTCTTTAGCTGGCTGACTGGAGAACAGGCTAGCTCTTTTCCTCCCTTGGAAGTACCGCTTGCTGGTGTTGCCTTCCCACCTTCATTGCCTGATTACGTTCAACCAGGAAAGGTTGAATCAAAAGTTCTGGAAAATGGTTTGATGATAGTCTCGGAAGCATCATCGGTATGCTCCTGTTGTTTTTAACCATTCTATGCTTTATTTTACTGTACTTTGAGTTTCCATTATGAGTGAGTTATAATTATTAGTTTCATTTTCTTGTTTTGTAATCTTAAGAAGCTTATTTGGTTGGTTTATTAGAATCCTGCAGCCTCAATAGGATTATATCTTGATTGTGGTTCTGTCTATGAGACCCCCATTTCATGTGGAACCACCCATTTGCTTGAAAGGATGGCATTCAAGAGTACTAGAAACAGGAGTCATTTGCGCATTGTCAGGGAAGTTGAGGCAATCGGGGGTAATGTAGCAGCTTCAGCATCTAGAGAACAGATGGGGTACACTTTTGATGCTCTTAAGACATATGCTCCTGAGATGATAGAGCTGCTTATTGATTGTGTAAGGAATCCTGTCTTCTTGGATTGGGAAGTTAATGACGAGGTAATCATCTTAGATCTTGCCTTTTTTTCCCATTCTGATCTAGTTAAAATGTGATTGCCAATGTTGTTGTTCATAATTCTCCAATGGTCCTTAGTAGGTCCCCTTCTGTTATTTATATATTGTTTTAGGTTTTGATGGATCTGTGTCCTTGGATGCTTTAATCCTAGATGATGCATCTCCATAGCTGTATATTTATTTATTTTATATTTTTACTATAATGTGCATGATATCATCCACTAAATTGCATGCATCCACCGTTCCACCCTGCAGGTGAGTCAAAAATATTTATTTCTAAACATTGAATTTTTATTTCTAAATCTCAAATGCATTTTTATATATATTAAAAAAGTTGTCGTACCAAGTGACAAGTTGAATACCTTCTTTTAAATTGTTTCTGGGCGCTCTGTTGTATACCATGCTTTCTGCATTTGTAAACTCTTATCTATGTTTGCACTGCTTCACAAATTTTCTTTATGTTTCTTTTGTATTTCACTTGCGCGGTTGAAGAATGATGGACGTTTCTTAGGACATTCTGTAGTTTGTGTCTGATACATTTAGTTCATGTTTGTGGGCCAAATTTGAGTGTTGCTCTCTGTTGGTTTTCAACCATAACTGATGCCTCCATTATACCTGTCCACACTTACTCATCCTTGTTAGAGTCTGCATCAAATGTCTTGATTTTATTAATAGTCCAATGTTTTGTCTGCACAGCTGAAAAAGATGAAAGTTGAAATTGCAGAGCTCTCTAAAAATCCCGAAGGCTTACTGCTGGAGGCTATCCATTCTGCTGGTTTTCTTGGTCCATTGGCGAATCCTCTTTTGGCTCCAGAATCATCACTAGATAGACTGAATGGTGACATTTTAGAGGAATTTGTGGCTGTAAGACCATGGAACTTTATGAATACTGAACATTTGTTAATATGCTATGCACCTTTTTACGTTCATTAAACTTTGTGTTCTCCTCTCTGTCTATTCTTTTACTTGTTGATTTCTGATGTGGAATTTCAGAAGCATTACACAGCTCCTAGGATGGTCCTTGCTGCATCCGGTGTTGAATTTGAGGAGCTTATCTCTGTTGCGGAGCCACTGCTTTCTGACCTCCCACGGACTCCACAGACTGATGAGCCAAAATCTTTGTATGTTGGAGGGGATTACCGCAAACAAGCTGCTTCACAGGTCTATATTATTTAGCACCCATTGATTTATCTTTTACCTTCTCTTTTTTTGTTTTTTTTCCCATCATTAATATAATTTATATTTTATTTATCCAAATTTTCTTTTAATGCTACTTACATGTGTGACTTCGTATGAGGCCAGATGGCACATGTTGCTCTAGCTTTTGAAGCCAGTGGGGGATGGCATAAAGAGAAAGATGCTATAATGCTGACTGTTCTTCAGGTTCTGCATGTTGACTTTGCTCTCCTAGTTTGTGCATGGAATTGTCTTTCTTATTCCTTGGCTGCCTTATACATCCTGTCTTTAGTGTATCAGTTTTGCATTTCATTAGAACAAATGGAGTGTATAATAGTCATAATACTCTTTACAGATGCTTCTGGGAGGAGGTGGCTCATTCTCTGCAGGGGGCCCTGGAAAAGGGATGCACTCACGACTTTGTAAGTTGCATACTTGCTCCTCTCTGTTGTTACTATAGCCTAATTACTTGCTTTTGTACCATTTAGCTCTCTGACTCCTGTGTAATTTTGCCAGTTCCTGCATATTATACCAAAATGTTAGTTCATGCTTACATTTTTTTTAATGCATTTGAACACAGATCTCCGTGTCTTGAGCAAGCATCCAGAACTCCAATCGTTCTCTGCATTCAACAGCATCTTCAATAAAACTGGATTGTTCGGCATCTATGCTAGCTGTGTAAGACCAATGGCATATGTAGTTTTGTGTTTAATTTTTTCCTGATGAACTATGCTGTTCTGGTTTTTTTGTTTTTTTTGAAACAGTTGTGTGAGTTTTGTGCACATCCTTGCTTGTGTGCGCTGTTTTACTTGAGATCCTTTTGTTGCCTAACTTTGATGTTGTTAACAATACTTGTCTGGCTTTTCTGTTCATGATGTGCATGCCATCATACATAGCCCTTGAGTGACATAATGCATACTGTCAGTACATATTTAGTCTGTTAATTGCTTATAAATTAGTTGGGTGGGGATAACCTTGGAGAAGTTTGCAATTTTTTTTTCTTTTTATATGGATATTGTTGATGGTACTCAGAGCATGATGTCTTCCATTGAGTTCAGGGCCCAAACTTTGTGCATAAAGCAGTTGATTTAGCAGTGGCGGAACTAATTGCTATTGCTACACCTGGACAAGGTTTCCCTTTTGCACCTCATTCTGTGTATTGGACAGGCTACTTCTGCCTCTGTAGCATTCTTGATAGAGCTCCTTCTCCTCCCCGCCTCACTTCTTTTTGTTGCAGTTACCCAGGAACAGCTTAATCGTGCTAAAGAGTCCACAAAATCTGCAGTTCTGTTTAATCTTGAATCTAGGGTACTCTCTCCCTCTCCCTCTCCCTCTCTCTCTCTCCAGGCCTTTGTGTTTGCTTTGTCTAGGGCCCCTTGGCCATTGCACTTCACTGTACCCTCTCAATACCTCTTTTCTGGTTCGTTTTGTAGTTTCTTTTTGTTTATTATGGTTATGATTGTGCTTGGCACAGATGATTGTAGCCGAAGATATTGGGAGACAGTTTTTGACGTACGGAGAAAGGTATTGGAAGAGCATTATGCACCCTTATTCTCAATCTACAATTCTGTGATCAGAGGTCACCTTTTTTTGGTATTCTTGCTTCTTATTACTGGTGTTGTATGCATGTAAACAAGCATGCCTTTCAGAATATGCCCACACTATTAGGTTCCCTCTCATTGTAGTTATCTTCTGGAGAGTGAAGAATTTATCCCAAAATTTGTAGTGGTTCAGCAATCAAAGCATCAGGCTTCTTTTTAGAGTGTGTCCATAATTCTGGTTGAGAGTGAAGAATTTATCCCAAAATTTGTAGTGGTTCAGCAATCAAAGCATCAGGCTTCTTTTTAGAGTGTGTCCATAATTCTGGTTAAAGCTCAACAATTATTTTCAGAAACTCATTTCTTTGGCAGAGAAGAGGGGGATGTCGCAGGGCAAGGCCTTTACCCCTATATAACTAGATTTCAGAATTCCTTGTGGATTATTTCATTATGGACAGTAAAGAAAGGTTTCTTGAAGTGGGGGACAAGAAGTATTTGAAAATATTTTTTTCTTATATTATTTTTTGCATAAAGCGTCTGCTCTCCAGATTCAAACTTGTGCTTTGTGTTTGAAGATTGTGCACCAGCAAGGACTCCTAGAATTTATAATAGTTGATTTTACCTTTGTCTTTTTAATTTGCTGTTAATTTTGCCTTACGAAACGAATCTAAACCTCATTTTGGTGATATGACTATTTCTCATCTTCTCAGGAAGCCTGTGGAACACTTTCTGAAGGTTGTGGATGAAATCACATTGGATGACATTACTTCCATTGGATGCTCGCTGATAAGGTCACCTCTAACAATGGCATCTTATGGGGATGGTAATGCCTAATTTTTAATTGTAACTGAAAGGAAATGTCTAATTTTCATCAAGTTATTGGATGTTTCGGTTGTTGGCACTATAATCGCACTGTAACTTTTTTGTTCTTTGGTGGCAGTCCTTAACGTCCCCAGCTATGAAAGCGTTAGCTCCAGGTTTGAACGGAGAGGAAAGTAAGAAGCTGTACTATCGGCCAACATCTTTGGACCAAGTGACCACGTTGGAGCCCTTCTCATTTTGTTTCATTTGTTGAATAAAGGAATATGGTAAAGAAACTGGTCCATATGAATAGGGAGAAATACAATCCATGGAAAACTATAACCATCAGATTTGTAATGACCTGTTGGGAATTTGGATGGATCGTGAGTGTTCATGATTATTGATCATGTAAAGTTTTGGATATTAGTTTTCTTCTGTCCCCTTAATTTTACTTCAAATGGAAGTGAAGGAAATTGAGCTATGATTTGTTATTTACATATCCCAAATAAAAACTCACGATCTTGTCTCTGTGTTTGTTCTTGCCTCGGCGGCTGGTCTATTCTATTTATTTAATTTAGCACAATTGTACGATATATGAACACATTAATTACTACATCAAATATTTTCTTTTATAGTTCCTCGTGCTAAATTTGTTGCAATACCCAATCGCGTTCCTAGGCAATGTCGAATCTGTTCTGATTGTTCTGAGCAAGCGAATGGCTCCATAATGACAAACTAAATTAACGAAGGAAATTTTGAAGTGCTTCTAATGCCCATGTGCATTTCTACTTTTCGTTGAGGGTGTATGGGAGTGATATTAGTTGGTTTTAAGTGTTTTATTTCAAAAAAAGATGTATTAAAATAATAATTTTTTATTTTTTAAAATTTATTTTTGATATCAATGTATTTATAAATATAAAAAATATATATATTTTTTTAAAAAAAAAAATTGAATTTTTGATCAATCTCTATTAAGACCACAATCTCAAACAAAGGCTTAAAGACGATAGAGAAAGAGTGTACATGTAGTGTCATTCTTCATCTGCCTATAGAAAGGAACTTGAGAAGAACTGTCATCTTGTTGAACCTCACAGCAGGCTTTAAGGAAGTGGAAGAAAAAGAATTGAATCGTCAAAATGGCTTGCAGGTTATTGGCGAGATGCTTGCTAAGAGGTTGCCATCCTAATATTGTAACTAACTTGCAACATCTTGGTTCTCTCAAGAGGAATGGGAGAATTGCTGAAGCTATGGATTTGCATGAAAAAACTTAAAACACCAAGGTTTAACTCCTAATTCCATAACATCTCCAGTGCTTGAACCATTGCAAAGTCATTCATATGGAAATGTTAAGAGCTTGCAGGCAGAATCCAATCACAGGTTGGGTTGTTGGCTCTATAAGGTGAGGAAGATGATCATAACGGCCACCCTAAGGTAGGTGGGGATAGAAATATCCCGCATATAATTCAATGACTGATGATGACTAATTTCCTGGATGCCTTTTTACGTGCTTAAATCTGTTTTTGGTAAGGCAACCACATTGGTTTGGTGGATTGGATGCTAAATTTCAATAGATATTTTTTTCTCCCTCAATATGCTTTTGAAAATATGATTTGTTAGCGCCAAGGAATAGCATTACTTTAAGCAAGATTAATAATCACCACATTGTTTCTTTAAAAGAATTCCTTCCTAATTATTGCAAAATAAGCAATAAATTGATATATGACAGGGTTGTAACTTAGGCTCAAAACTAAAAAGACAAAAACCAACAAAAAAGATGAATTGAGAGCCTAAATTGATAAAAAAAAAAAAAAATTGGATTCAAAACAAAGTTTAAGGTAAGTTGGTCTAAAATCGAGACAAACAACTTGATAAACAAAGTTGCTAAAATCAAGAGCAAGAGAGAGGAGAAGAAGAGGCCTAACTAGGCCTAACAAGCGGCCCAACCAAAAGGAAAAGGAGGGCCAAACGAGGAAGAGAAGAAAAAGGGGGGGAAAAATACTAAGCCCCCAACTCCAACAAAAAAAAAAGAAGAAAAATGAACAAAACCGAAGAAAAAGGGGGGGGGGGAATACTAAGCCCCCCAACTCCAACAAAAAAAAAAAGAAGAAAAATGAACAAAATCTACTCTAACATAAGTTCAATTCAAAGCTCGTAGATCCTTTCATGTTTCAAAGAAATCTCCTTATGGCACATTAAACAATGTTTATGAACGCTTATGTAATCATAATTGCCTCTTGAATGCTTTATCTTTCAAGTTATCGATATAACACCTACTTGAATGTCTTATTTCACAAGATAATAGGATGAACGCCTCCATCATCAATTCTTTTCACATGATAATTGCATGATCATTTACGATAAAATAATAATTCTCTATAATTACTCCAATAAGTAGATTAAATAGATTCTCTAAAACATTACTGCCTATAGTACAAATATATATGATCCTTAGGTGTATAAATACTTAATAATCACTAGTACAAAGAAAAAAACATAACAAATCACAACATACACCTTTAAATACGATTACCTATGCAAAACACTCTTATGCATTTTTTGCTTCACTTTTTATATATAACATTTCTCTCTCTACTTTGCTAACTCAAGCATCATAGAATTTCATATTTCATAAAGAAGATTTGCTTTATAATAGTATATAAACCATGACCTGACTTAACTTTTAAAAAAAGTTCTTTAAAGTCTATTAAACAATTATAGAAAGGCCAATAATCATTTAAAAACTTTTTAACTTCATTAGTGACATCATTTATAGGAGTTAGAATAAAAACTATTTCATTCCTTTTATATATTTCTAAATTTTATCCATGACTAACAATTTAGAAATACCAAAACATAAAAGAGTGGTCAATCTTTATATCATACAGATATCAACTCTTCTGGACCTTCATCAAATAACAAAGAAAAATAAAATGAAGAAATGATGCAACCATTAGCTTTGTTATTCGCACCACCAAACACATGTATGCAACTTCATTTTATGAAATGAACAAGTAAAATAAAATGTATAAAAGTAGGCAAGAGTATCATCGGTCTATAACCCTACCATAAAGTTGCCTTTACTGCAAAAATGAAAGTTCTCAAATAAGGTCTTCAAATGGTGATTTCTAAAAGCCTAAAAGTAAAGCTTTAGTATGTCATAGCCATAAGAATCACCATTGCTATCACTCTCCTTCCTTTAAATCTTGCTCAAGCATTCCTAAGTGAAAAAGAAAGGACTGTGACATGAGGAAATTATGCACACTTTAAAGGATGGCTACAATCTATTATATAGACCCCATTAGGTGAGGGGCTTCTTAATATGTAAATGAGTATTGGACACCTATCTCTCCAATAATTTCATCTTTATAAAAATATACTTAGAAAAATATGATAATTCAATGACCTAAGAGAATATGTATAAATATATGAAGAAATTCATACCTAATCATACAAGATAACAATATCATTTGTAAAATCCTTTTGAGCATATTTTATGAATTTGTTCTAGCATGGTATCATAGCTTGAAGCTCAGTTTTATTCTTGACTTCAGCAATTTATATGTCAAGCTTATTGCCTATTTCAACACAAGTATACACATTAAAAAAAATATATAAATTAAGCTCTTCACCATTACCTAGTGAGAAAATAAAAACTCCAAAGCATATTTAAGGAGGTTTAATGAGATGTTCAAGGTGGAGGGTTTACTTGAACCTGTTACTATAAAGGCCTTGATCAATGATCTACAACTATATTAAATGGAAAGGTCTATACGCTTTCCTAGATTGAACTCTCACCAAATTAAATAGGTAATAAAGAACCATTTTTTTTCTAGAGAAGATGAGTGTGGATAGAAAAGGGTATCTTTGAGAATAACCAAAAAAACATTAGTTTTTTGGCAGCCTTAAGGCATTCAAGAATAACCAAAAAAGGTCAATTCATAATCAATTAATATTCTTTGATCACTCCTTTAAATAATACTTCAACAAAAATATTTGTAGTCATTAAAGAAAGATAATTTATGAATATCCATCTCCAATAAAAAAAGACTCCAATACACACAATTCTAAGAAGGTCTACCTCTTTCATAAAAACATGAGTCATGACATCAATGATTGTTATACTCTTAAGAAAGACAAAAAAAAGACATATTAATAAGGGTTACCACTAATAGTTTATCAAAAAAAAATAGCAAGGAGAAGGGCTAACACTTCTAATAAGACACTATCCAAAATTAACATGATATAAGGTGGGATTTTGGTAAGAAAAGATCTGAATAAAAATAAAAAAAGCTTATAATCCTTGAACTTATGGCATAAGCCTATCGAATTCACTCATGAAAATGGAAAAGTGGTGACCTCTCCTTATAAAAACACCTTGGTAATTACTACTAAACTCTGTAATCATACATTGCATAAGGTGTTGGTGGATGGTAGAAGCACAGTTAACATTCTCTTTAAAAAAGTGATGTCATAAATGGGCTTCAATCCCTCTAAATTTACTCTAGTTAAGACTTCTTTAATTGTTATACAAGGGTAGATGTATGCTAGATGTATGCTAGTGAAAGGCACTCTAGGCATACTAATCACCATTAGAAATTATTAAAAATATCATATGTTTTAGCAAATTTTTATAGTAATCAAGATTTATTTAACTTATAACATCATTCTTGGAAGACCTCTCCTTTATGAGATAATTAACACCAAGTATTTGGATATGAAGTTTCCCATTGATAAAAAAATGGTGACAATGAAAGGAAATCATATGGTTTTTAGGAAATACACCTCTATTTTTCTAAGGAAAATAATGTTTTATTAGTTGACCAACACTTAAAAAGAGATTAAGGATGTGTACCAAAACTATTAAATGCTTGTAAGAAGTTAGTCTCTATAAGCAAAGGAGCAACTTGAGAAATCAGATGATTAGTAAATGCATCTCCACTTGTCTTAAAAAAAAAATTATTGGTATACTAACAAGGAATCTTGAAAAAGAGACTAAACATGCATACTAAAGCTATAAAATATTTGGAATAAATTGGTCTTAATGTGCAAATAAGCAACTTGACCACTAGAATTGGGTCCACTTTGAACTTTAGGTAAGAGAAACCCCTAGCAATGTTTCTTAACATCAAAAAAGAGAATTTTTTCTTTAATGACATGCCAAGAATTAGCTCGGATATAACCTTTTATTAGTTGAATGTCAGTCCTCTTTTTTTTCCTCTTATTTACCAAAAAAAAACCTTCATTAAAGAAATGAAATAGTCATCTTTTAGAAAATAGACAAGTTACCACAAGCCAATTTTATTAGCGAGATGTTATAACTCAATTGGCTTGAAAAAACACAATCATAATAAAGAAGTCTAATAATAAAAAAAGAGGAAAATATATGTAGACATAACTAATCTCAACAACACCTTCCCTAAAGAAAATTTCTCCCTACTAAAAATAAATAAACTAGTGGACACCATTGCTGATTTTATGTTTCTCAGTTCCTTAAATGTGAATTCAAGATATCACTAGATACTCATGCACTTTAA